CTGCATCGAAATCCATTGCCACAAGTTTACACTATGGTAAATATCATGAGACTCAAGTTTAACAAATTGTATACGTGTTAGAAACTATTTTAGAAAGTAATTTGGATATGCCGGAGAGCAGCCTGTAACTTTTCCCATGACCAAGGTGAAACTTTTCGAAAGTGATGGCAGTTGCAGTTTTAAATGCCAAACGAAATGCTTTCTGCCCCTTTTGCCACATGAGCTACATACTATACTATATTGCCTGACAACGTGTGAAAATCTTTAAATAAACATACTTTTATCATAACTGTAAATATGGGTGTGCCGCAAAAATTGTCAAGAAGGTTTTGGGCCACGTTTTTCTTTAAGTTTTGTAGGGCGCAGTTGAACACTACTTTCAAGGAGAAATGTATTAATTAAGATATCTGGATATATGGGTCCGAAATTTTCTTTGCTTTGTTGCTGAAATGCATTGTGGGAAACACAACGGATGCAACGAGTTCCTTCATAGTTATGTGGAAGTCGCGCCAATAAACTCTTGTCATGCATTGTTACTATAACTTGCGATTTGCGTAGATGCTTTAATTGTGTTTTATTTCGAAATAATCTAACTGGACTTTTTATAGGCTGTTATAATGCTTTGTCATGCAGAGGGAGTCTGAAAATATTCTTAATAAAATAAAAGTTTGCGTTACAAATATTTACATGGTTTTACTGAAATTTATGGGAAAGGAAGGATGGTTTCCTATGTTTAATGATTGCTCTTAGAAGTGGGCGGCGCAACATGTGTGCAGGTGATATCTATGACAAGTATTCGTAAGAATATGCTTAAAAATAAGTACAAAAAACAATTTATTAATTCATTAAGTATGTATTTTAAATGCTATTTGCATTAACTGAATGATTTTTTATTACCCCAGAGAGTCCAAAMTGTTTTGTTTTGTTTTGTACATTTTACTTTAGTGAATTGAAACAGATTTTCGGTTGTAAAAAATGAGTTTGCGATTATCCGATGTCAACTGTGGAAGATTTGAGATGCCAGAGATTTAAAGGGGAACACCCTCTTCGGAACATGAGTTCAGTCACTTAGCTTTTTTTTTAGCCAAGGTTAAGCAATTAACTAAGTCTCTTCAAGTGCAATAAAAGACCGGTATCAACCTTATCGCAACATCCCAAATATTATATATATTTGTATATTGTATAAATATTCGCAATTTATTCTATTTACACTGCTATTGATAAGCGAGTACAAAGTGTGAAATTCGACTATGAATTTGTAAATACGTGCATTTGCTGAATCGCAGAACTGTGCAACTCTTTTTGTGTTTCTTTGCTTCCAAATGTTTCAAAACATGTCCTTGTCCAGGTATCATGCCAGTGAGGCAGATAACCCTTAAGAGTATTAAAGACCATTTTTCTACATTTTGCATATACTCTCTCTATTTTTTATTAAGGACTATGTGTGCAATTGACCTTCGAGTTCTAAATCATATTTGGTAATTACGTAAATGAACACAACTTTGTATCAGTATCTTGTACAAAGCTTGTTTATTTAGGCAAATCTTTTGAGCTCTAAAAAGCTTCTGGAAAAGTTTTCTATAAAATTCACTGCTGGGTTATGTCGCCGCAATGCTACCAAGCTTAGCATACTTTGAGGGGTGACTTGTGGTGATTTGCGCTTTTTCTAATTTGATATCATCATACTCAATATTTGCTTTTTATAATTCTAATTCTATTTATTTACACATATATAATATAAGATACAAATAGTAATTGCGAATGAAATAACTTTTAATTTCTTAAAAATAATTTGTATGGATACATAAGTTCAAAACTCTAACAAATCTGTGGTTTTTAATATTGGTATGTGAAAATGCACTTGTTCAATATGAAATACAATGACGCTCAGAACATGAAGAGGAGGTTATGAGTTTACTTGAGTTTTCTCGATATCGATACAAATATAGCTTATTAATTTTTAATAGCTTATTATATATATTTTTTATAGCTTATTAATATTTAAAAGCTGTTCGAATTCAAATCTTCCTTTAYATCATCAACTTATTTTTTATTATATATTTGGTGACACATCCTGATACATACAATACCCTTTATGGTTTATTGGTTTATTCGAAAGTATTTAATAACATTTTCATTACGAATTGGAAACACTTTCTTTCTATATACAAGTACATATATTTTTCTTTGCTWGTCCATCTGCAGTCACATTTATACATGTACTTTCATGTAATCAAATTTTGCGCTGAATCGATATCATTTCATTCCAGACCTATTGAGAAAAACTAATCCAACCGAAGGTGAAAACTTCCTTAATATTAGATCACAAAAAACGCTTGTATTCGCTTATGTATTTCACCTTCTTTTTCTTAGTTCTTATGGACTTTTGCATATTCGATGAACACCTAATTTGGGAATTTGTTATTTAGTCGAGCTATAATATTGCCTATCAGTTATATACAGCTTGTCTAATTAAAACTCATCACATTGAATTTGATGCTATGCGTTTCATATTCGCATGAGAAGCTAGATTGCTTTGGGGCTAAATTATAGGCCAGAAAATAAGATCGAGCGAATATCACATTTGCGAGATTATTTTTACATGATTTCAAGCAGGTGACAGTTATAAAAGGCCTCAACAGTTTGCATTCGTAGGCGAATGGAAAATTTTTTATATCAAACAATTTTTGTGACACCAAGCATGGAAACACGCAACTGAGCAAATCCGTACTTTGACTTTGTAAAATACATTTTTGAATTATTTTTTAATGTTGTAATAAACCTGCAAAGTCAAATTAGTTTTGAGTGACCCCAGAAAAAAAAGAAGCTTTCTAACTGATTTATTATTTTTTTTCCTATCAATTCATGATGTTTTATTATTAAACACCAAATGATTAAATCTAAAGTTCATTCATAATATTTATGTCATAGTTCAATGCAATTAAAATAATGCTCATTCCCAATATACATATATCTTAAATAAGTAAATTGATGTGATTTCCATTGTGCAAGCTAACTCATTTCAAATTAGTTGAGTAATAGTAAAATTAAATTCAGTATTAATTATCGATTATGAAGCATTAAGTTGTTGTAAATATCGCAAGCGATAGTGATGACAACGCCTCGATGCACATTCACGTTAACAAGATTGTTAAGAAATAAAATATTATGGATTAWCCCTGATCTTATGAGAACTTTTTTTAAACAATCTCGACGTGATCATTGCCGAAYTCATGATTTTTGATATCATTGTATAATCAGCTCCAAGATAGCTTCCATGGATATTTGAGATACTATATGGGTATATTATAGCCCGATAATTTGTAGTAATTAAAAAATAAACTGGAATTTATTTAAAATATTCTTAAACTTCAAAATAGTCTACCTATTTATAAATAATTGGATTTAATTTTTGATCTTTTACATTATGAAAAGTTAGATGTGTGCAAAACCATTTATAAGAATGGAGCAATGGAGTCAACAGCTACGTTGTCATTCTAGAAGGGTCACACGACGGTAACTAAGCGAAGCATTAGGCTTAAAATACTATGTTCACTTTGCAACAGAAGTGATAAAATACACATACATATGTATATCTATCAAAGCGTATTCTGTGGAAGTCTTCAGCACTTTATAACATGAGTGCAGCTTTGGAACCAGCTAATGTGTTCCATTGAAGAATCGAAAATCGTTCACCTGAGTATTTATTAGTAGTTCGGCTCAAAGTACTCTGAGCTAGAAAGGACCTTTTTCATAATTAAATATTTAATAATAAAAGATTTCTTCTACAGAATAGCCAATGTAATCTTTTAAATTTTTTGCTAATGTGATGTCAAAAACTTATTAACCGAATAACGGTTGTATATGTTTGTATATATGAAACACTCATTTCTGACGTAAAAATCAGTGAAATTATAATGTAAACAATGATAATTTTCAAAGGCATGCGATCGTGCGGCGCAGCGAAGACATTAATAGCACACAATATATAATATGAAGAATATACATATGTATATATTAGATAAAAAGCAACAACAACAACAGGGTGTTAGTTGAAATCAAAATTTCTCACTCATACCTACATATGTATATAATTTGGCGCGCCGAAATCACCGCGTTTCCGAGATTGATACTTTTACAAATTATTTTCACGTACTCGCAAATTTATATACATACGTGTGTGTACTCGTATGTTCACAGATGCAGGCGGCAAATGTGATAGCGTGTCTACTACACTGCTCAGCGACCTTAGGAGGTACAGGTACAGAGGAGTTTGTATGAAAGCCCACCCACTACTTTCATTTCACATTTAAAGTGTAAGGTATAAGGGTGCCGATCATATTAAATAGTGGCGTAGCTTCACTTTCGATGAACACCAAGGTACAACGAATACACAAGAGTAGGGAGAATACATTAGAACGAACGTAAGCGTCGCGTAGCTTTTGTGATTCGCTGACTCCGCGGCTAGTKCCATTTCAATCGCGTCTCAKCAAAAACGGAGGTAAATATCGCAATCAAACTTCGGCAACCAATTGTATTGCCAGTCAAATTCACGTGTGACTTATGAGGTCTCCTTTATCGTCGCTGTTGCGGTATTTGTTGTGATTATATTTTTCTTGTTTTTTATACGCCTGCCATTACACTTGTACACTGATTACAGAAATTCCGTGCCGCAGATGTTTTGTTTACCCGCGCACGGCACTGACCAATGCAGATTGGCCTCCGCAAGCTCCGCTTCCTGAAACGACGGCGTAGTGTCAGTGTTTGCGCGCATGAAAATATGGTTTTCATCTATAATTCTACACTTGTGCTACATTTTCTTCGTCGTTCTGAAAGATTCCCACTTTTTTGTTGATTTTCTTTAGTGGTGGTGGTGGTGGTGGTGATGGTGGTATTGTGTGTGTGTGACGTGCGTATATGGGAAATACGATGCAAACGTCTACAATCTCGTGTTATGTGTAGCTAACTCAATAACAGTTCAGCGTTGCTTTCGTTGAGCTCCGGTGGTTACTCGCGGTCATACGTGCAACGGTTGTAGGCGTAGTGGACTTAAGTGATCCTGATCTTGAAACAAAAATACTGGTCCGTGCATGAATACGGTTGGGAATTATATTAATTTACTAATTAGTATTAATTACTGCACTTAAACACTTCGTTAATTGGGATGGTGAAAACTATGAGAAACAAGTGCATTTGTATGACGAAAACTGTGCTCGTTTTAGCTGCGTAAATTGAATGAGTGAAATTAAGGCGGAATGTGCATAATTTCGTTTCATTTGTTGACCAATTAAAAAAGCAATTTTGGTTCATCCACGTTGTGTCTGGAACAAAAAGTATGACTTCTTTGCGTAATATAAGAAGTTCCTAAAACGAGAGGATAAGTTTCAATATTAACTCACTTTTGGGAAATATGTCGGTGGAGGGATTGAGAGGCTATTTCCCAAACATTACGTTCTGTTTTTAGTACATATGGATCTTTTTTTTAATGTCACGAAATATTTGTTTATAATACTGATATATGTTACTGTGTATGAATAAACCTTTCTTTCTTTAAGCCATCGCTATGTTTGCAAGTATATTTTTGACTAAAAAAATTTAATATGAATAACCAAAAAAAAAAAAAAATATTATTTAAGTTAACTTCGCACTTTCGCAGCTTTTGCTTCTACGAATGAAAATGAAAATTTACACGAATAATGTTGTTTCCGATAATAACTGTAATATGGTAAACAAGTGCATTTAAAATTAAAATGTCTGTTTTCTCTGCAGCGGCATGTAAAACCTACCTCAAAAGTTATAACACTTTGTAATTAAGAAGTTTACAAATGTTCGAATTGGGGATTGGTGGTGCATATTTATGAGGTGAAAATTCGAGAAACCAATTTTACAGCATTTCGGTTTACGAAGTCCAATAACAACCCTTTGGAAAATTCCCGAATAAAGTCTTCATTTTGCGACTTTTAAACTATATTATATTATTATAATATATAAATATATTGCACGATAAAAAATATGTTATCCGTCCGGGTGCCAATAGTTCACTTAGCTTCTTTATTCAGAAACGGCTCAAAGCGTATAGAAAGCTCAAATTGAAAGCCAATCTATTAATCTCGGTGGTTGAATAATTTCTTCTCTCCTTGTTTTCTTTATTTATAAGTATGTTTGTAATATTACGAACGGTAAAGCTGTTTGGTGGCCTTGACGTGGGAATATTCTAAGTCAATAACAATCAAAAATAAACTTTTATTTCATGTAATTATACTATAAAATTTAAGCTTGGCAGCGCAAATAAACAATATGTATTATGTCATTAAGAGTTCTTTGAACTCAATATAAATCCAAAAGAACCAAAAGCTCGCCAATTGCACACTTAGAATTTACAAACATTGACTCATAATTACAACAATTCTACAGTGCACTCGGGTATCTGTTATTCTTGCCGATTGATATGCGCAACAGTTGCTGGATAGTGAATCAAAATCGGAAATTATTTGGTGTAATTACTACTGAAAGACAGACAGAGATAACAAAGCGACAGCTGTGAAGCTGCCAGCACACAAACACCCTGCTGAAGCGGTGTCAGAATTATCTAACGGTACTTGCCCTCAACAAAAATGTTGGAGCTCGATAAAATCTTAGAGAAATGTGGTGACTGTCATCGCTTGCAGGCGATCATGCTGTTGTTATTCTGCATCATCAATTTGCTTTCCGCACTGCACTACTACTCACAGACGATCATAAGTTTCGTGCCGAAATACTGGTGAGTCCATCGTACACTAAACCACAGTTTTGTTGTTGCTCAAATGATTTAATCGACAGGTGCATCGACGGCTACCCGAATCCGACGGATGCGTATGCGGTTGCCAGCGAGCAGMCAGGCTCATCATGTCTGCCACATCGGTTTACAGAGGGAGATGAAGCCGCGTTCCCGAATGTCACCGCAAATGTGTCGCACACGTGTCAGCAATTCGACTATGAGCTGTATATGGGCTATCAAAGCTTTACCAGTGAGCTGAATTGGATTTGTGATCGCGCTTGGCAGGCAACATTGGGGCAATCGATGTTTTTCGTTGGCTCAGTGGTGGGCAGCTTACTATTTGGCTTTCTGGCAGATAGCTTGGGTGACTCAACAGTTTAACGGGCTTAGTGTTGCATTGTACAATATTTTTTTTGTATTCCTCACGGCAGGTCGACTTCCCATTTTGATCGCCGCCAATGTAGTGGCAATGGTTGGTAATTCCTTGACTATTTTGGGTACAACGCTTCCAACTTTTTCGTTATTTCGCTTTCTGTCCGGCATGGCGACCGATAGCAACTTCGTTATGATGTATATTTTAGGTAAGTGATTTAGGAAAATCGGTGAGCGCAAATTTCATATAACTCCTGTGAGCTGACTACATAGTTCATAACTTAGGAAGTTCTATATAATAGAAATTTACTCCGTTGGTTGACCACAACCATGACTACAATTGTTTGTGATTGTACATATATTAAAATATTGATTAAAACTGCTATGCATTTTCCCCAGTTATGGAGTACTTGCGTCCATCTCTACGCACTGTTGGACTGAGCATCTGCATTGGCTGCTTTTACTGTCTCGGGTCAATGGCTGCACCGTGGATTGCAATTTTGCTGCATACGTGGCGCGGTTTCCTTATCGCTACCTCGACACCCTTTGCCATTGTACCGTTATTCTTCTTCATTGTGCCCGAAAGTGTGCAGTGGTTGATCTCTAAGCAAAAATACGACAAAGCCGTTGAGTGCCTGAAGCGTGTGGCGAAGATCAATGGACGTGCAGTGGAGGAATCCGTTTATACCGAATTCATAGATGAATGTAAGCGCATGCAATTACATACAAAATCTGGTGCGAATCTCTTCGGGCTATTTGCAACGCCACGTTTGCGACGCAACACGCTAATCTTGTTTTTTAAGTCGTAAGTGTTACACAATTACCTTTTATGGTGAAGTATTGATTAACTTTAAATGTATTTATGGTTGCGTGCACCAATATATGTGATTATGGCAGCATGGTCATCACTTTGTGTTACGACGCGGTGTCGCGGAATGTTCAAGGTCTCGGCATATCGCCATTTGTCATGTTCACATTGAGCGCCACGGCTATATTACCGGCCTGCATACTGTTGATCGTGCTACAAGATCGCATTGGTCGCAAAGCGATGGCGTCCATGTCGCTGCTGCTAAGTGGTATTTTTATATCGGTCACCGGTGCAATACTCTTCTGTACTGAGCGTAGTGGCGGCGAGAAGGGTGAGCCTCCAAATGAAATAATTAAATCACAACTTACTAATAAATGATTTCTATAATTCTGTAGATGTGGTATTGGTAGTGATATTGTCGGTTATAGGACGATTTGGTGTAACGGTTGCTTACAATTCTGGTGCGCAGTATGCGACTGAGTTGATTCCGACTTGCGTGCGCGGCCAAGGTATAGCGGTGGTGCATGTCATGGGTTATGCATTCACCTTCTTCAGTTCGTACATTCTGTACACACGCTCGTTCTTTCAACCTATGCCGGAGATAATTTTGGGTTTACTTTCGCTGTTGGGTGCTGGATTGTGTTTACTGTTGCCTGAGACGCTCAATAGGTAAGTGAAGTAATTTGTAATAAAAAGATTTTTTTTGGTTAGAAAGTTTTCTATACTAAATCGTCTGTGGTAAACGCCACCGAAGACTAAGTTATATGGCATTTGAAAGTCTACTGCCTCTACTTAAAAGATATTGCAGAGTTATTAAAAATAATAGAAGCACAATCAATTTCAACAAAATATGCAAAAAGCTGTAAAACTTGCTTTTAGCTTTATCCTTTCTCCGATACTTAGTTGTTTCAGTGCGATCTCTTCATTTCGGAGGCCAGTGGTTTTGGTATTATTTTTATAATTTTGCAACATGTTGCTACAGAGTATAATAGTTTTCCTCATCTAACGGTTGTATATTATGTATCACGTAAAACTAATATGAATGGATATAGGGTTATTTACTGTTTTTAAATGAACAGGTTGACGAGACGAGTTAAAATCCGAGTGGCTGGCAGTCGATCCGTCCGTCCGTGTAAGGTGTAACTTGAGTAAAAATTTAGATATCTTGATTAAACTTGGTATGCGCGTTCCTTGATAAAACAAAAGTACGAGTTTGTAGATGGGCCACGCCCACTGTTATTGTACTCTGTAGCAACTGGTTGCAAKACTATYAAARGTCATGATGAAAAYTCAAAGTCAAATGAGGAAAACTCTCAACAATTTTTGTAACAAACTTTATATTAATARTTCTTCAATCTAACCGTTAAAATTTGTAAGATCTAAGGTACATTTATGGAAATAATAATTTTTTCGTTGAAGAACCTTACCCACTTCTATGGAAGATGGAGAAAACTTTGGCAAAAACGAGCGTTGGTATAATTTCAGTTTCTTGGAGAAACGGACACAATCGGTTGATGTCTTGGCCGCGAACGCAGGATCGCAAAATATACGAGACAACACGGCGGCATATTTTTAAGACAAATCAATTGTTCTGTAACTAGTTCCTAAGTGTTAAAGTAATGTTAAGCGTTAGCATGTTTACTAATAAACAGCATTATTATTAAAACCTCTACGATTCTAGTATTTTTGGCGAATATCCTATGTTGCAAGAAGCAAGTACCTTAAATACTTAAATACTTATTTACACACTTATTGGCCTTCTTGTGATATTTTAAACAACCTATACAAATCACCACAACTAAACAAAATCTCTTTTATTACAAGCATATTTTCTTTTTATATTTTCTTAACTATCAATGCATTTCAAAACATAAAATTTTTTAGGAATTGTAATAACAAACAGGAATTAATAATAACAAACATATATATCATTATATGGCAAATACGATCACGTTGCTTACGACATTCCAACGTGTATATACAGGCATCATACATTTGCCTATATTTGTCGCCGTGATTGGCTGGACTGGCCACAAAAGCACGAAATTCACAACGGACACATAGTATTCATTACCCACCTCCTGCAGCTTCTAGTGATCAGCGAACAAGACTTTTGTGGGAAGTGTTGCCGCCTGTAGAATACACATACATATTAGGTCAAAAAAGTCTTGCGGTATTTTTATTGAATTTTCAATTGTTCATAAAATTGTTTTTGATGATTTATGCCCAGCTCTTGACCGATGCTACGGCTGCTACTATGCCGGTCTCTTTCGACCAATTCAGCGATTTTATCGCAATTTTCGACGACATGCCTTCCGGAGCGTGGCGCATCTCCGACCACTCCACACCGGAACGAAAACGTTGAAACCATCGTTGTGCGGTGGAAATGGAAACTGTATCGGGTCCATAAACTGCACAAATTTTATTGGCGGCTTGAGATGCATTTTGCCTTTATCGTAGTAGTACTGCCGTATTTTCCGCTATAACTCACGAACGACTTAAAAGAAACGACAATCAATCAAACACGTGTTAGCGCGTGAAATGAGCTTTACAAAAAGGTATAGCATGACCCGATGCGACRAATAAAACTAAAACTACGCGCTCTCAGCATTAGCATTATAAATTGCGTTATATTTGACTAATAAAAGAACTGATCAAACTGATAAATATTAAAATGATTTGGAAAGTCTTTATGAATAAAATTAGTATTTACAACTTACAATTAAACAACAACAAATGATGTGCATAACTCAGAGAATTCGAACTTTATAGCCTTGACAGACAACAGCGCTAATATGCATTAGCGAACTTAATTTACAAGGCAAGCATTTGACTCATGTTAATGCAAGTTTGTAATGCACAAGAATTTCGTGCATTTAGCTGAATTTACCAAATTTGGATAGGCAACACTGCTCAAAAATAGCCGATTTTTGCTATTTTTTGACAGATGTSGCTTGAAGTCTGCTGCCTCCTTTGCGTTTACAGCATCAAAGGTAAGCAGTTTTATATTGCTAAYTAAATTATGTGCAAGTATATTAACAAAAACTAATTTTAATATTATTAGGTGGCAGACAACAAAGAAAATAAACAACGCACAGTCTGCTCTCCATTTTTATAAAATTCTTAACTTTTTCGCACACTTTTTTCGCATTACAATCAATTATTGCATTCAGTTTCACTCTATTATCTTTTGACGTAGTATTCGTAAATGAATTTTTCCGTTAAATTTATATTGATTTTCTAAAAATACCAAAATTTCTATTAATAATTTATCTTATTAATTTTTATTTCACTATTTTTTTTGTTTTTAATAAATAAACAAATTTCACTATCAGCTGTCTAAATGCACAAGTCTGCCGTCTGTCACCATAAAAKTTCAATGCGCATTAGCGTTGCTTAAGGTGCATTAGTTTTGCTCGTCTGTCAGGGCTATTATTATGTCATACCATAATCCGAATAAAATTTTTCCCGAAATAATAGTTCCGGTGCACGATTTTATTATTACTCTATACAAACCTTTCCTAGTTGTAAGTAAATTATTTGATTCAAAGAAACCAAGCATTTTTAAATTTAAAGTTTTTAACTATGACTTAAACCTTTTAACTTTATTAAGAAACAATTTTTGACAATTTTGAGTCATTTAGTATTGAGTATTTTATTAAGTTGCTTTATTTAAAAGTGTTCTAAGCGCCTCATATTTCAGTGTTGAAACRTCCACTCAAATTTATAGTGAAAGAATCCATTATTATAAATATTTATATTTGCGTTTTGTACCCATACACTTGTATATTAACTTATTTTTATTAAAATGAAACTCGGATACWGCGGTTTAATATTATTTTAGAAAAGTTTATTTTGGAAAAACACTTCGCTGATAATATAAGAGCGTCACATACGTACGGCATGTTCTCTCGTCAAGTCGTGGCCGTACTGTGCTTTTGCAAATTTTAAATACATATGTATATGGTAGATATTAATATCTCTAAGCGTTTTACGACTCACGAAACTACTAGCGTCTTCAATAAATGAAATAAAAGGCATTTATGCGTCAGAAATTTATAAACTATGGCATGAACGTCTCCGACAACTTAAAGCAAAACATTTTATATAAATTTCCCAAAGAAATCACTGCTAATAAATTAAACTGCCGAAAAGTGAAGCTGCACAGAGATCGAGACAATGCAAAAAAAAAAAAAWWTTTAAATAAATAATTTGCATGGTAAATGATGCGATGAGTCGGCAAGCCGTTAGGTAATACCTTCAAAATAAATGAAGGCACTAATGTGCCGTAGAACTGACTSTTAACAGAGACTCACGTGTATTTCAGATTACGAACACCGCACACACGAACATACATACCGGTACACATAGACGACGGTGGTACAGGTATGCTGCACACTTGGGTATTCGCTGAGTGTGAGCTTAGCCAAGTTGGCCTTTAAATGAAGCGCCCACTACAAGCCATGCGAGCTGCGGCAGTGATTGCCTGCGAATTCAACGTTGGCATCCGACAATGCCAGTGCCGGCTACAACAGGTTTTTGATTAGCTTTTTGGTCTTTTGCTTCGCCTACGATGCTTGCGCCTTTCTCAGCCGGCACTTGTGCTTGTCAGCTTTTGAGGAGTGTTACTGATCCGCCGTGGAGCTCGAGAAGGTGCAAGCGCCAACGCAATGCAYTGCGTAGCGCAGTTCAGCTCGATTCGGCTCTGTAGCCAGTCGTATCGCGAGTTCTGATTTCAAATTCATTTTGACCTTTTKGCACTGCACTGTCATTTTAGCCAATTGCTTTTAAATAAATGAAGCGCAGTGCCTGGATTATTGCCGTTATTGTGATAATAGACAAACATAAACACTCACACTAGTATCTTCTTCAAACGATACTCGCTGCCATCTGCATTAACCGTTACTTGTAGCGCCTCCGTGATGAATGTTATTGGTACAATATGCCAGCAGCGAAACGTCGCCACAACCAAAGCCATTAACCATAACAAAAAATGTTGCCCCATGTTTCCTCACTCTCTAGATGCCGCAGCTATGAGCCGCTGTTTTCAAGTACTTTAATGCCTCTGCACAGCATGCATGCGCAAGTGTAATAAGTATTTATTGTTGTAGCGTCTTTTTGTAATTTTACATTGTTGTGATCTTGTTGTGGAGCCAATTTATTTATATGTATGTGGCTAAGTATAACTTTATTTTATTGCTGTATTATCGTTGTATTTACATTGCTTTTGCTGTTTTAGCATGTTCTTGAAATGAATTTTCTTTCTTATTTGTTGCTCACTGAATTGGTTATGTTGTTGTAGTCGCTTCAATTCAGTTTTTTCATTCATTTGAGCATTGAATTACGCTTGGACTGAAACGCTACCACTTGTGACATCGCTTTTCGGCTATAAAAAGCAATAAGTTTTGTTTGGAATTTATGTAGCACATAATGCCGATGAAGTGACGTTGCTGCAACTGGAACCTTTGCAGAGAATAGTCATTCTGCCGAGTTAGCATGTGTCTTTCGCCACAAAACTATGCCCGCATACATGCACACATGAAGAATGGGTTTCGACAGGTTTAGATTTGATTATGAAAGGAAAATAAAATCTATATGATCATATCACTCCAAGGGTTTTTGGAATATAGACGTATATATACATAAATTTCTGTTACTGAAAAGCTGATTTTATAATTAAGCTAAGCTTTTCTTTCGAAGCGTTGCGTTTGATGGTTATACTCCATGGAGTGTACTATAAGCCATAATTGTCCCTGAAACACATCAAAACACTTAAATCAATGAAAAACCTTTCAAGTCTTAAATTTTGCAATGTTTGCCCAAGAACTTGACTGTTGCGATTGCACACGGTTGAATAAGTTGGTCTCATAGATGAGAAAAAGCATGACATAAATCTTGAACTCGGAAGATTGGCATCCTCCTTATTTAGGTGCAGTTTCATATCTTAGTAACTAGTAACTCGAACAAATTAGACCAGAACTTTGTATATAACATTCCTTTTTGTTGGAAACTGGTATCAACATTTTAAATAATAYCGGATGCTACCTTTTACACTGGATGTATAAAATATCAATAATAGAATATGTCATCTAAAAATGTATGAAATCACATTATGTTTCTTCGAGCGCCTAGATAYCGAATATGAAAACCGGAGTGCCTAATAACTTCGATGTACGAAAATGAGCGATATCGATTTGTGAAGTTTCGTTATTGTAACGAATATACCGTCGATTGATTTGATTGAGTTATCTTAACAAACCTATTGTTAAGTTTTGCTTCGAAGWGGAAGTTTGTTATATCTTTGATTCTGGCAAACATGCCGCATTAACTTACTTGCTTTCAATATTTATTAAGCTGAAGAATTTTGGATAACCCACATTATTGAATGTTGCCAACTGGCAATATGGAAAAATAACAATTCCAAAGTTAAATTCGTACAAAAACGAACACACAATACAACAGGAGAATTGCTAGGCAAACGGTGGCAGACGGAAAATGACATCCCGTAATCGGACATAGTGGCAAAAGCTGGGAACCCTTTAACTWAGTTCACGGAAGAGTAACCTCTGCAAAAAACYAAAAATACAAAAGCCATCGACGTACAAAAATGATGAAAAGCCACAAACACCTTCCGAGCGTAATAAAAACATGAAAGAAACGAAATATGGGCTCAACATGCCCTGAGATGGCCGAATTACTTGTGCGCTGACGCTTTAAGTGCTAAGGTGTGGGTGGGTTGCGCAGGCGCTAGCAAATTTACCGTTTCTGGCGATTCGCTTTGCCGCGCCAGATGCGGTCACTAACCAACTGACATCGCGCTCCAGAGCAGGTCGTGGTGTGAGGCTTACACGGCTTTGCTGATTCGTTTTACGTCACCAGTGTTGTTGCCATTGCTGATGTTGTTGTTGTGTTTGAGGCTTGATGCACGCGCAAAATTTGCCTAAATCGATTGTGGGATTTTCCAGCTCCCCAAGTGTGTATTTCAATTCATTTGCTTTTTATTTTGGCGTCKTCAATGTTTGGGTCCCTTAGCCGCACCTCGCAAACGAGCAAAAAGTTATGTATATATTCTCCATATATAATATATTTAGATTCAACTTGCTGTGGCTTTGACTGCGCTCTTCCAATTATTTTCCACTTTTCCAAAAGCTGCCGCATTAAATTAGCGCATTGTTAGTATTGGACAATTTAACGTTGCTGCTGGCTAACCCAACTTTATTGCTGTATTCAATACATTTGTGTGCATTACATACTTACAATTATACACATTATTTTTGTGTGCGAAAATAGTCCCCTCTGATCTGCCGGTTGAATCTTTGCTTGCTGGCAGCAATCGTGGCGAGCCGCTTGAACCGTCCCAGGTTGAAGAAGTTGCATGCTGCACAACACACTACTAAACACGTTGTTATTGTTGTTGCCATTGTCAATGCTATTGTTGCTATAACTGCTTTTTTGCAAACAATCGTGTTGTCGTTTTTGTTGGTTATGGTTATACTGTTCCGCGCACTGATGTCTGTCGCTCCTCGGCCACCGCCACCGCCACCCCCACTCTACCCGCACACAGAAATCTTTAATGTGAGCAGCGGTACTTGCAATATAAAAGTCAAGAACTATTTGCTTGGCTTCACAGTTATTGAATTTCAAGCGCCGCATCCGTTTGCCGCTTCGGTTGTTCGGGTTCACCACTAACTGTCGTTCGATTCGGTTGGCCATATGTAATTGATCAAGCATATTTTGGAAATAATCGATACAACTGTTGTGTACGAAAATTTTCACGTCCTGGACGATAAAGTATCTAATTTTTTTGAYGCGTCTTGAGCGCGTTTTACCAACAACTGTGGAAAGGACTCGCACATAAGGACTCTAGAAAAAGTGGTAGCAGGATGTTGATGTTAAAGGTGTGAATAATTTAAAAAAATCTTTATTCAATAGTGAAATTACTATTCTAAAAAGAAGCCAGAGAATAAATGTGATCATGTGTATTGTGCTGACTTTTTGCGTGCTCTCTTAATAAGTGCATAAGATTACCTTTATATGTTCCTGAACWGTCATTAATCAAAACTCAAAGACTCCTTAAAATCATAGCATAATCCTTAATCCTTTATGTTGGAATGTRCTTCTACTTGGCTTTTCTGCTTGTCAGTGATTTCAAAGTGTGAAACCTTAGACAAATAGCGATATAATATATAAAATCGGTTTTCAGAACTGCAGCATCTTTTCATAATCTCGGGAAGAGTTTGATTAAGCAAAACAACAGATGGCGCTTTTGCTACTTATTGCTTATACTACGTCTTCGATTTGAATTGAAACAAAAGCAAATTTCAGTCTGGTTAATTACTCAAATCTATATTAAAATATTAATAGAGATGCGATGCCTTACTCCCTAAATCAAGTATACTCGCTTTCTTCCTATATAATTAATGACACTTTATCACTCCAATTTACTGTTTAAACGAAATATCAGCAAAAAGGGTATTTTTGTCTTTTGCATTTAAAAACAGTGTACCAACACAGGAACAGTTGTGGTGAGACCGAGTCCGTTAATAAGCAAGCATGGCTCTTGTCGAATAAAGTATCGAATATTCCAGGTGCGGCACCTGAGTCCTGTTTGCCCCTAGGACCGACATGAAAATTCTTCATCATAATCTCTTGAAGCTTTCTGATAACTTGAGTCTCATTCTCAGCAGTTATCAATCCAAATTAGGCACTTAGCCATCACCTCTGAGGACATAGTATGCATAGACTTTATGAAACAAAACCGATCCTCATATGCAGAAGTCTGCTTGTTAAAACAAACTGCCGAGGAGAAAAGAAGCTTCGTCAGAAAWTACCAATTTTCAGTCCTTCTAATTTCTATATTATTTATATCATAATTTCTATGTCCAACACAGGATGGGTTTTGTTATTTATCTTAACATTTTTTCAGCGAGAGGATAATACTGTTATTGTCAATAATACATAATTGAACAAAAAACATACCCAACAATTATCGACTCAATTTAGTCCCTTTTTAATTGTAAGAATTTAAGTCATAATATTATTTTTAGATACTCTTTATGACAACTGTATTTGCATTATCCGAATGCGGAGTTATTGGTCCATATGCAGGTCATTATGGACCCCATGGTCTTGATGGTCCGGGACCGTTGCACTATGCCGCCTATGCTGGTCCACATGGAGGAGCTGCAGTTCCASTGCCATATGTAGCCCCGGGTAAGTAAATTGTTTTCTTTATATCTGACTGTATTTTATTATTCCCATTTTCCATGATTATTTACTTCTGCTTAGCACCGAAACCGGCTGCTCCCGAACCATACGACCCAGCACCGAAATACTCTTTCGGCTATGACATTCAAGATGGTTACACTGGCGATTTGAAGAGCCAACATGAAACTCGTCATGGCGACGTTGTCAAGGGCAGCTATTCTGTAGTTGATCCGGATGGCACGAAACGTACAGTTGATTAYACCGCTGATCCGCATAACGGTTTCAATGCTGTAGTTCGCAAAGAACCTATTGCATATAAGACCGCACCCATTCCACCGGCAYCAATTGGCCCGGCAGTACCTGTCAAGGCACCGGCACTTTCATATCCCTTAGCACTGGCTCCGCTAGCGCATGGTCCCGCACCCCTCCCAGTACCCGTACCCGCTCCACTGCCTGCCGCAYCTGCTGGACCCCACTACGCTGCATCATATCCAGCTTTGGCGCACAGTAGTGCTTACGCGAGTTATCCACTCGCCGCTGATCCACATCACGGACACTATTATCCACACTAAGGTTGACGAGCTCAAGGCGACTACTTCGGATTATAGCTCTATTACTATGACTTGCTCATTAAATATTACATATGTATATCGATATATTTTCTTGCTTGCATCTATCAGCTACCTCTTATATCTTTTTATAATATATTTGCATAATCACTTACTTAATTACTCACATATCCCTTCATACATACATATATGACGTATGAAGTTATAAATATTTGTATTTTTGCGCATCGGTTTTATTGCTTTTGATTGCTAATCGCTATATTAACTTAGTTTTTATTCTGGCACACTTAAAATATTTTAAATAATCATATACATATATACCATATATAATAGAGATATAAACATGAATAACGGTTCATTCAGTAAAGTAATTACATACATATAAAAATATACATACTATTACCCTGAGTATAGAAGGAAAGGCGTACTTACATTTACTTTATGCATTACTCTCTTAATATTGCTCTCTTATGTATTTTCAATTACAATGTTAGCAGTATGATTACATTAGAATTAAATTCAAAACGTGTGTGTTGTTGTTTTCTAAGCATTAGATTCTATTTTATTTACAAACTTGTTTTTCAAACATATTTACATACATACATACAAATAAATATTACAGGTACAACATATACTTATATGTATAGGAAGGATAAAAACTGCGTTTTATTGCAGAAAGGACTTGAGAGCGACTAATTTTACTTATCAACAAGTGGGCTGATGAGTTCGTATCATTCTTTTTGAATAAAACCTTTTATTTTAGTGAAATATATTTTTTTTATTATTCAGCGTGGTGGCTTCGTGGCCAATACACCGACTATAGCGATCTTCAACAAATGTTTCTATATGATTTATATAATAAAGATATAAGATATAASAGAAATATATACATTTTTGAAATGTTGAATTGAGTCTAATCTCATTTCAAGCAAAGAGTAAGACCTATGATCTTCTCCATTCCCGTGACAGTCGGTTCTGCACAACCGAAACGGACCCGATCGTTGTCCGGCCAATTACCGGCAGGATCCCTCCAAGTAATTATTATTATTTTTTCTGGCACAACAACAACAAATTATAATCTTTTATAATAGCAAATACTTTTACAGATTATTATTATTTTTTCTGACACAACAACAACAAATTATAATCTTTTATAATAGCAAATACTTTTACAGATTATTATTATTTTTTCTGACACAACAACAACAAATTATAATCTTTTATAATAGCAAATACTTTTACAGAATATTAAGTTTTTGTCCTTATGGTAGTTTTAAAGACTTTATTCAAATTAGTACATAATTTTAAACTAAATCTGATCATTTAACGAAAGTGCTCACCGTTTTCTGTTTTGCACTAAGGTTCTCTGTTTTCACCCGCTCTAATAAGGCTCTTTAAATTCAACTTATTATGCAGCTAACAGACTTTCCACTTCTGAGACGGATATCCAGGGCAAAAGGACACTTTTATAGAGATACGCACCCACACAGCCGCTCGGCCGTTGGTTGCATAAATGGCATGCATGTCTTATGTCACATTGCCGGGTATTATTCTAGGTACAATATTGTACAGCGATTATGTATTCCATGCAGGTCAATTTTGTAGTTTGAAATTTGCAACGAGTTAACAGTGTCTTTGGTTTAATGAAATACACAAATTGAACGCATCGCTGGGCTTTTGAATTGGAAACTGTCAAGTTTTCCTTCTCTCCCTTTATTGAGGATTTTGTACTATTTTCTTTTTATTTTCCTTAACACATATTTGCATAAGTAGTTATTGCTCGTCATCTGTTGGCCAGTTGCTGACCAGTTTCAGGATATATAAGTAGGCGAGTTTTGATCAKAGTCCTTTTAGTCGTCGCCATTGTGTGATAACGGTAGTAATATTCCGTAAGAAAGTGCTGTGATTTAAGTATTGAATACTTTTGTTCCAAATCTTGTTCGGAAGTTGTCACATTTAACCAGTGTTTCTATGAATGCACTTGACAATAGATGAGAGTGGAAATGAATTATAAATTACACTCTTCTATAATATTCTTGTGTAAGTAAAGCTGTGAGTTTTATAAAATTTATGAAAATAGTATGTAACATTTCCATGCCGAGTTGCCTCACGAATTTGCTAATTAAAAAATGTTGTAAGAAAAACACAAATTTTCAGCTCAACTACAAAGGGATTGATGTTCCGGAGTTGATGAGAGAGAGTTCAGATTAATAATAAATCCTTAAATTGCAATATGAAATACGGAAAAAATACTGTCAATCTGAAAATGAAGACAAACGACTTGGATTATGGCAAAAGTAATTGGTATTTCTGCTCTCTTTTTCTCATCTGATTGAGCTTTGTAAGAAATTGCTTTTTTAGTTGATATCCATTAAAATCAAAACAAACATTTTCGCGCGACGTGCTCTTTTACTTTCCAGTCAAACCTTGTATAGTATATTAAACCGGAGTAATTGAGTGTGAGCTGAGGTATTTACGACGATCCCTTGCCGCTGGTCACATACATATGTGCATATACTATATCTCATATAATTATAAGAATGCTAATTAAAATTATATTAAATTAAAATTTTTGAATTGCATATCCTGTCAGGCATTCTCATTTTCAATTTGCACAAACCAATGACGACATACGCCATGTATTCTAAGTACCTTAATATGCCGATGGAGGATCCGTTCTATGATCTGGAACCAAATGCGCTTTTCGAAAGCAAGCGTTCGATGACCTGTGATTCGTGTGGCAACGAGTGTACGAATGCTTGTGGCACGAAGAATTTTCGGTAAGTAACAGGAGTATTCATTTATTCGCATGTAATTAAGAAAATTAGGAGTTAAAAAATAATACACATCTTTTAGCACCTGTTGTTTCAATTATTTGCGTAAGCGAAATGACCCCAACGCAATGAAATCGTTCAGTAATAAGCGTCTCATCGACTTTATACTTCTACAAGGTCGCGCCGCAATGTACTCCTTGGATGAACATAATAACAGCGGTGGTGTAGCCAACGATGGAAGAGTTAAGCATGCTGATGGCGCAGGTTTGGACTCAGACGAGAAGTCTTATGATGCCACTGGCAGCAGAAGACGAATGGGCGGAGGCACAACTTTTTCACACAGAGTTGTGTAAAGTGGTTTCCAGTATGGACGATGTCAAATTTTGAGACTCTGAAACTCTCTTTTCTGGCTGGATTGAAAGGACCAGCTTAAAAATATCTGCTGCTTGAAATGTTGTTTTATAAGAAATAAATTGCAATTGCTTTCTAAAAAGCTTGATTATAAGTGATGTTTTATGTGCTGACTTATTTCGTTTCAGTTGTATTTCGCAAACCTTGAAAAAAATTATTTGTTTACCTATTAAGGAACAGCTACAAAAACSCAAAGTTACTAAATAATTAAAAAGACAAAGAATGCCTTCAATACCATCGGCTAGTCTAGAGAAAACCTTTGTCACTACCGATATCCGATCCCTCCTCAATCCAATGGCCATTTGCCTTGTACAGAACCATTGAAAAGCAGAAACCGGAGCATTAGCAGTCAAGTTTTCCAAACTTTTTACCTAGCAAGAATGTATGCGATAAGTTGGTAGCTTTGTATTACATACTCTTCAGAACCATTTATCATCAGCACCAATCTGATGTTTCCTTGCTCTCTATTATCGACGTTACTTTGTAGCAAGGAAATAGGTAGATTTGGCTGTGATTATTATGTAGTCATATTTTGTGCCTATTCAAAATCTATTTTAATTTTTCCCCAATTTCACATACTTTTATATGTTAGTTATATTGGCGTTTTCGTATTTAAATATTGCCGGACATTTAAATCTCCGCACAGTTTATTGACTATTTTGACCATTAAGACAAAAGCTTTTTYTTCTGATTTTGTATCAATTGTATTGTTTTATTTATTTTCGTCTTTTTTTTATGGTTTTTAAGTTGCAGTTCCTTTAAATATTTTGATAAATATAATAAGCTAGACTGATAATCCGAAAACTAGAGAAAAATCAGAGATTCCTAAAATTATTGTTAGAATAAAGAAAACATTAAAGTGAGAGAGAGGAATTACTTGAGTACTTTTTAGCAGATAAAGAGAAGTGGCCATGGACATGAACTATACAATGTCTAAACTTACACCATAAAAAACTGCACATTTCTTTTATTTGATACTTCACTTCTTCACAACTCTCTTCTGCTAAACCGTTGCTTGTCGTTTTTCGATTTTTTTTTTGTTTTTTTTTTTTCGTTTTTCTTTTGTCTCGTTGCAGATTGACGTGTCTTAATCCCCCCTTTAGTATCGTTGTTTCCAGTTGTTTAATTAAATATTAACCCACCATAGGAGCACGTATAGCCAAGCATCAGAATCGCGTTCCGGTTGCTGCATGTTGTCGTTTTTATGATTATTGTACTTTCGGTTCCATATCTGGGCCACATACTTATGCCGCCGATTCGCTGATTTCCGCCGTCGCTTGCGTGCGTACTTCGGAGGCCATGTCGTCTTTGCCGCAGGCGAGACAAGGGATTTTCTCGCGYAATACTTGTCGATATTTAGGGTGACTAAAGGATGGGGATATTTACATAAGTATTTGTTAAAGGAGAAATGGTTATATATCATTTTATTTTGGAACAAAAGCGCAATTTACCTGAGACCGTAGACTATTGGATTGCAGACTGAATTTGCTTTCGCAAATACCGAACCACAAATTGTGCTCAGTGGTGAAAGATTCATCGAACCGAAAATACCCGCATAGTTGATTATCGTATATGGGGTCCAGGCGAGGAACCACAGCGATATTGTCACCAATGCTACTTTAGCCAATTTAATTTCAATCGATTTGCCTTTATCTGCTTCGCTATTACGCAATGAGGCGACATTCATCTTCTTAGCCTGATCACGCATAGCTTTTTCGTGAGCCCAGACGGCCTTTTGGAAGAATTAAAAGAAAGAAAAGTTTTGTAAGAAACAAATTGAATATAATATAAGAGATTGTTACCTTGGTTTTGATTATGATTAATGTAAACAAGTTGAGAAGAAAAGTCTACTTACTTTCATGATGTGGTAATATGAAAAGATAATGGTCGTCAATGGCGTAGCATATACCCATAATGAGTACACAATGATGTACGAACGATTAAACCAGTCCTTAGCAAAGTAGTCTGTACCGCATGCGGTCATATTACCCTCAGGTACATAACGATTCCAGCCGACCATCGGAAGTATGGCCCAAGTGCCACAAATACACCATACAAATATTAAGCGTACAACAGCCACGGTCGTGGTGAGTGGTTTGCGAGACAGGCCCTTCACGATCACGCAGTAGCGATCATATGCAATCAACGTCATTGACCAAATGGACACACAACCAAAAAGCGAACCGGCCAGACCGTATAATTCGCAAAGGAATGGTCCCATAATCCAAGTACCGTAGAAACCATTCAACACCACTGGTGGAAACATAGTGAACATCATCATAAAATCAGAAAAGGCCAAATTAACCACAAAAATATTTGATGGTGTACGTAGCGAACGTGTCGAGGTGAATATATACATGACAATAAAATTGCCGGACAGCGACATTACACCTAGAACGGTGATGACAAAGCCAATGATCTGAAACCAAATCTGCTCCATCGGTTGCCATTTATACCAGTAGGGATCGACCATATGGTAAATGTCTGCAGGAACACTATCGGCCAGACTGATGTTGCGCCCATCKCGTAGATACTGAAAGCCAGCCGGTTGTGGCAGGCTCAGAGCCTTCGTGAAATCCATTGTTTTTCTAGGCAGTCAGATATCGTTAGAGTTTGTGTGTTTTGGCTCAGCTTGGACACTCGCTCGGTAGATTAAACACACACAAAAGCGGCTGAAAGACTGTATTGGCTGATTGGTTGAACGACGTTCAGCGAAGTTAGTTTTGAAGAAATAACTTTATAGAATCTATTTTGGTGCTCCCATAGCTCCGTAGCAACGACTAGGTTGACCGTTGGCACTGAGCAAACGCCTTCGCACTTATGCTTGTCGCACTGCTATGTGTACGCTTCTCGACGGTCTAAGGCTTTTATAACTGTGACTGACATGACAATTGAGCGCCTAAAGTCGTTGCGATGATCCAATTAGTGTACGTTCAAATTTCGGTGGTCGATTGCCAATGCGCAGTTCAAAAGTYGGATTAATGCGCACACACACACAAATATGCGCATGCAAGGAAGTGGTTTCTTATACGCCGTGGCACTAAGTTCTAGTCGTCTTGCAGTTGAGAAGGTCAAGTTCGTTGAAACTATGGTGGTATGAATTGTTGTTACTAGGTTACTGGCAAATTTAGTGTTCTTACACTTAAGAAAAGCAACTTACGGCGATTGCAAGAAATTTGTGAAATTGGATTAACTCAATTGCTTTTCACATGAATCAAATGTGGAAAGTGAATTGTTAAAAATAAATAAAACTGTTGGATTAATCGTTATTCCACAGAAAATAAATAAATTATCTCATGTCTGTGTGTGTATTTGTGATAGTTTATACGGGAGTGTCACATAATTTATTTTGGTTTGATTTATTTCAAAGTTCATTTCATTCCTGATATTTTTAAGGCGTCTTGCCTTATGGGTAAAAGGTTTCGTAAGATAAGGTCGTTAACCTCGTCGTGAATTCAATCTCCACCGTAAACATAATTTTTTTTCCAAATGTTTTTCAGAAAACGCTCTGAGCCCTCTGTTATGGCACAACTGAAATTGTAAACACCCTTGCTTGTTATCAGTTATCTCACCCAGCTCAAATTTGTATTTTACGACTCCATTTTATAACAGTCGGATGCTGTTTGAAAAATAGCAGAGAGTACTTGTACTTGACGTAATAGGTAACTGTCTATATTAAATATAGTGGAAGGAGCTTCAAATTTCAATGCATCTTATCGAGGAATTACTCACCTATATAGTCTTAACTGCAGATATTATCCAGCTGCTATCTTGTTAAAAATTACAGTTACATATACTTTTCTCTTATTACTTTTTTTACTCAAAGTATTCATAGTCTCGGGTCGTAAGGTCAGTGTTCGTTTCGGTTGCTTGTAAGACCTTTATTGGGTTCTCCTAGCATTTGAGGATAGAACATCTAATTCTCTATAGAAATCCGTCCAAAATGAATGTAGTAACTTAAAACCAATTTAACTTTTGAAAATCTACAAATTTCAAACTTTTTTACTGTTAATTATTTAGTGTCGAATTTCGTTCTGATTTTAGAGTTACTTTTGGTGATAAGATTATTGCGTTATWATGTTAAGATTTATTTTTTATATTTTCTTACATATATTTTTATGGAAATTAATATTCTTGTGAAAAGATAGAGACATCTGGTCACCTTACCATAAAAATCCGCACTAAAAGCTTCAAAAAGCTTTCCYATTTAACATACCGTACAAGCTAACTGGTCTTCAAATAAATATTCGAATGAGGGAGTGTGCGAATATAACGGAAATATTGCGTCAAGTGTTCCCAGACACATACTGTTCCCAAAGACTGCTTGCCAACGCTTTTTTCTTTGTGGATGCAAATTATTCAGCATTTAACGGTATGTTGAAACATAATAAATACAATTCTTTACGATATTCAACTGAAATTTCTTCGGTTTCTCTTCGCATTTACTTATGTGTTATAAGTATGGTATACACATAACTACACACACTGTACATAACTAGATGCTAATGCAAATATTTACCTACACCAATATGAAGAGTTAGCAACGGCAGGCAACGTTTATGCCTCAGAATAAATATAAATAAAGATAAAATATATTGTATGCAGATAGAATGTTTGCAAATTAAGTAAATTAGCGCTGATAAGATATGAAAACACGTTATGGAGCACTTATCGCTTGTACCTGCAAGAATATTAAAACGAATGACATTGGCGGGGTGGGCAGGGGTACGAGTGCAAACACTACAGGTTACTCAGTTTTTGGACGGTGATAAGCTTCACCTTCTCTTGCAGCAAAACACGATACTTTTATTGGCGAAAATAATATTTACTATAAGTATTTGTCCAGCTGATTCATTKAAGACGAAGAATATATCGTTGACTAACCGTAAAAACTAATGCACGAAAWACGTCAGAGCCTTCACACATTAAAGTGTTTTACATTAGTAACTTCATTAAAATGCCTGAAACTTGAAGTAAATGAAGTACATATATGTATATACCGATATACTAGCACTGCCGATATTTGGAGCAAAAAATAGTAAGACTTTTTTTCATAATTTCAAAATTCCTAATTTATTCTTCAAAATCTTTGTCGTCCTCTCAAATTAATCGCCCTTGGCCCCGATACTCTTGCACACATTATAGTTTACAACAATTAGCGACTTCATTCTTCTTCTTCTTAATTGGCGTAGACACCGCTTACGCGATTATAGCCGAGTTAACAACATCGCGCCACTCGTTTCTTCTTTTCGCTACGTGGCGCCAATTGGATATTCCAAGCGTAGCCAARTCCTTCTCCACTTGGTCCTTCCAACGGATTGGAGGTCTTCCTCTTCCTCTGCTTCCCCCGGCGGGTACTGCGTCGAATACTTTCAGAGCTGGAGTGTTTTTGTCCATTCGGACAACATGACCTAGCCAGCGTAGCCGCTGTCTTTTAATTCGCTGAACTATGTCAATGTCGTCGTATATCTCGTACAGCTCATCGTTCCATCGAATGCGATATTCGCCGTGGTCAACGCGCAAAGGACCATAAATCTTTCGCAGAACTTTTCTCTCGAAAACTCGCAACGCCGACTCATCTGTTGTTGTCATCGTCCAAGCCTCTGCACCATATAGGAGGACGGGAATTATGAGTGACTTATAGAGTTTGGTTTTTGTTTGTCGAGAGAGGACTTTGCTTCTCAATTGCCTACTCAGTCCGAAGTAACACCTGTTGGCAAGAGTTATCCTGCGTTGGATTTCCAGGCTGACATTATTGGTGGTGTTTACGCTGGTTCCAAGATAGACGAAATTATCTACGACTTCAAAGTTATGACTGTCAATATATCATTCATTTATATCCTTCATTAATATCCTTTAAATTTGAAGCATGTATATACATATACATATGTATATATGCATATACTTATGTATAATAAACACGTATATTTTTTGCTGTCGATATCTCCAGCTGTTGGTGGTTTTTTGGGCCATATCTATATAAGTCAATGCTAATATTTATTATCCAAAACCTCTTCTGATTCTCTTTGATATATGTTATGTGCACTTATAACCTCAGCCAAACGTTTTACTTACACAACCTGCAATGTTATTGTGATCAAGATAATTAAAATACATATACACACATACATATTTAAAGATGTGCAAGCCACTACCAGATAACACCTCGTCCTTCAGCAGTTACATAAAAGCCACGCCCTTTTTAATAATTTATTGTTTTTTATAAAGAAAAAAATGTATGTCCTTCTCTTCCTGTTAAAGATTACTTGTTAATTACCTCTCGTATATATAGTAATCACGTGTAAATGAAAGGTTCTGCCCACCATGAATGCCGCAATTATACAGAAATATCTACAATGAAAAGGAGAAAATAAGAGCATAAATGGACACCAGCAATACACAGCAATGAACACTGTAGCTTATGTTGCAACATAAGAGTTAAGCTGGCAAAGTGAGGCTAGMAATAGTAGAACATGCAAAACAGTAAAAGTAACTTGTAGGAAAAATTGATCAATAAGAAAAACTTATTTTTGTAAAAATTTTTTTTATATATTCACTGTAAAATAATTTTATTTAAATTTTTTATTTTTGTAAGTCAACGGTATAACGGTGACAGTCTTTTATTACCCCTAATTAATTTTTTCGAGTTTGACGTTAAAAGTTTAGCTGAAAGCTTATTTGAACAAACTCTTGTAATTTTAATATTCGCTTAGTACTGTTATAATAACTAAAAACTAACGAGTATTATCAAATTTATCATATAATTGCTTTTCCCACAAGGTACGTCGTTCTTTCAATTCCCAGCCGCTCGGCATCAAGCGTTCAAAAGAGTATGAATTTGTGTATATATTTTTGTTTTAGTCATAAGAACTTGTTTGGCGGAGTAAGAAGCATGCTGTCTGTTGCTGTTGCAACTTGTTGGTGATTGCAGCTGGCAGCTGTTCACGATTTGTTTGTTATTTGTTRTTATTTTTGGATCTTGTCGAGTCTTCGACCATTTGTGGTTCTGAAACAAGTAACGAGAAGCATGAGTAGAGCACATACATRCATTGTGTCTTGTCAAGCTAAACAAGAGGGCTTGAATTCGTTGAGGTGGGCGTCTGGAATGCATGCAGTTCTCTGCTGCCCTTACTTAGTTTCGCTGAGCCGAAASCTGTGGAATGGGGGCAATGCATACTGATTTTTTCTGTAGTGGTTCTTAGTAATCCCTACAATTGACGTTGTTAAGATTTTTCATCACAWTTCACATTCTGCTTTTCTGCATGCTGACACTTGCGATTTAACTTATAGCGCATTCAGCGCCATGTGCCACGGAGCCTTATGGCGTTAAGCTGGCAATCTTGGTGGTATACTTCATTTGTTTTTGTTCTACTTCTCAGAATGACTTTAGTTTGTAAAAGTGACTAAATTTTTTTGCTTGGTGTCACTTAACGTTTGCTTTAATTCTTAAGGGCGATTTTCTCTCGAAATAGTTTATACAATTTCGTGCACAGAACTTCAATAGCCGAAAGGTATAATGGAAAATTTGGGTATACATTTCCAAACCTGAAAGGTGCTGCCGAAAAGAAAGGAGAGCCACAAAAGACGAGTCGGAGTCATAGGAGGACGACGATATGGGTTTCGCTCTCTTCGATTAAACAGCTCAACTCTAAAGTTGAGCTTTAGGAATCAATGTTGTTCATAATAGGTTTTGGTTTAATGATTTAAGTTTTTCGTTTGTATATTTGAATAATATTCTCTAATTATCCATAAATAATTGATTTCTGTTTAAAGCAGGTGAACGTTGGTACAAAGGTCTTGGACTTAAACTATGGTGGTGAATCTTTC